CCGTCAGCTGTGCACCTGGTGTCCCAAGGAGAGGTGTTTAGAACACCAGCTGAGAGCCGCAGAGCTGACACCACTAGTCTGTGTGTTACTTTATATAACCACTTCTTGGACAGGTATCTCTATTAATACTTAAATAATTTGCTACATTGAAAACTATTTTAAAAATACTAAGAGAAAAACTGTATTTCATAGTTCCCCTTGAGAAACGCATTAAACAGTTATGCTAATAATTTTAAGGTAGAACTTTACATGGCTATGTCTTTAAATGTTTAAATCCTGACTAATCTCTATTTGATTATGATGTTTGTCCTTCTAAATCACCAGATTTCTGTACTTACTAAATTAGGAAATTGGCACCATTCATTTGCTGCAACATTCATACTAAAATAAACATATTTTAATATGTGAATTTTAAAAATGAATATTACAAATTCCAACAGCATGAAGATTGATGCTACTTGTATTGTTCAGGTCACACAACTCTTAACAGATCAAAAATGTAAGCCTCTTGAAACAAACATGAAAATTAGGCCCTTATAGTAATTTAAAACATCTGACAATATGAGTTTCTTATTTAATTTATATTTATGGACAACTCACAAAGAACATTAATCCAAAAATGTCTACTAAGTTGTAAAAATTATTTGTATCTTTGAGGGAGGGCTACCATATGCCAATTTTCATAACATCTTGGGTGCCAGTACCACTTAGTAGTAAACAAAGCAATAAAACATTGCCAAGAGACATAAACAACAAAATTCTTAATTAGAGACTGCTAGTAAATTCTGGGAGCATTATCTATTGGCCTGTAAACTGGAAAACGCTCATCTTCCTTTTCTTTAGGCTGTGTGGAAGTAGAGAGGACATAACAGATCAAACGCAGCTTTTCAAACAAAGTAGGAGAACAGAATGGGTTTAGGATGGAAAGAAGGGTGCATTTTATTGGAATATACAACTGACTTTTGCCAAGATTTGCAAAGACTCTGTTATTTTTCCAGGTGCTCTGTTTGTAGCTGCAAAAGCCAAGTGTTTTTCTAGCTAAATGACTACAGTGTCATATAGTATCCCAGACTTCAGAAAGTCAAGAAACTAACACATAAAACTCTTTTCTTCTAATAGAAAATAAAGCCTCTGGACCACTGAAACATTACACTGCATTTAGTCTTTGGTGTTACTTTCGTTTCTTAACCCTTTATTGAGTGTTAAGAGGAGAAGATTGACACCTTAAGAAAGAATTGATACTTTGGAGCAATTTCCACATGTAAACAATGCAGTGGTGGATGCTACCTGGTTAGACCTAGTACCATACAAGGAATGGAAAGGGAGAGGAAGTAGATTTTTCTGACAGCAAATAATTTTAATGGCCACTTACCAAATTACAGTTTTAAATAGACAGCATTAGGAAACAAGCACCAGGATTACAGGATTGCAAAAAGGCTAATGTTGTCCCACCTTTGTGCATTTGCTTATGTATAAATACAGACGAAAAGTTGGTTTTGTGAAGAAGCCTAGACCGGTAAATCACTTGAGATAAAATTTACAGGAGATCAATTGTAAAAAAAATGATGGTCTGTGAAACCTGATAAAAAGAAGTCTAAAATCTAAGAGATTAGGATGGATTTTAAGGATACGACATCCTGGGAAATTCCATGACTAGTGGAATTAGGACTGATGGTATTTCTCTATTTTTTCCAATCTGAAATTTCAGTAGTGAAAAATAGAACATAGAAGGATGATATGGCAAGATGATTTAATTGACATATGACTAATGGACTTTAAAAATGCTTTTTTTTTTTTTTAATCAATAAAACTGTGAATATAAACCATGAAATAATGATAGTTATGTGAGAAGCAAATAGAGGTATCGAAAATTTTTTAGGATAACCAGAACGTCAGCTCAATTTATTACACTGAACGTTTTTGCACTATTGACTGGAAAATTATTTGAGTTGAAGTATTTATTTCCCAATTCTACCAGTGCTACTTATTATTACATAGTAGCTTTTACTACATGATCTAAAAGATCACTTTAACATAAAACTGTGATGATTCTATTTCCTTTTTGTTTTACACATGAGAAAACAGTGCCAGAGAGATATTGACTTGCCCAATACCACACAGTAATCAAAAGGCAAAAAAACAAAGATCACAGACAGTCCCAGATACCTTCTTGACTCCTCCAGCTTTTAAATAGCTCTTGTGTATATGAATTCAAAGTACTTTCTTACCTTCTTGTTTGAAAATATAGGAAGAATCTTGACTTTTAAGAAAAAGACATCAATCAATGATTCTGATACGTTATTCTGTGTAATGAAATGTTATTGTATTCCTTGAAGGAAAGGTGGAAATATAGCGCTATACTAACTTGTATACAAAGTTACTGATGATCATACAGAGCCAGAGTAATCAGTAAAATGGTTATAAACAATACTTCATCTTCTTAACTACAAGTGCACTGTTTTTCAATTAAGTCAGTTTAGAATTTTTGCTTTTAAATGCTAACTCTCTTCAGTCTGGATATTTAAGCTGTACTAGTCTGTTCAAACTCATTAACATATGCAACTCCTTCTCCTCATTTCTTTTGAAAAATATAGGTGTTACATATTTTTTAAGTTTTCCACAAAACTTAAAATAGAAGAAATTCAAGGTTGCATATTTGGCTTCTTCAAGTGTTCCTTCATGGTCTTCACTGAGGTTTTAAGAATTATGACGTCTTCAAAGCAAACCAAACCAAATTCAAAAAAAAAAATGCTATAGATATAATTTTGCACAATTGAGCCACTGATGTTTAATACCATCCCTAATGCATGATGTGTTTTCTGTATCGTTCCATACACAATTCTTCCCACCCTCTCATATTCCAAGTAATTTGAGGTTTTCTGAAAGACACGCTTATCACCCTAGACCATAATAAATCCATGGAATTCCATTAAGAAATGTTCTTCTGATAAACAAGTTAAATAAGGGAGAAATATTTAAAAGTCTTAATATGAAAAGGGAACCTAAATACTTCAAATAGGACTGGTGTCTTTTTCAAAAGTATCAGTGGTTTTTGCAAATTACTGGTTTTACAATAGTAATAATAAGAGATTTTCCTTTGCTTTCCATGAAAAAAAGCAGTTGACCCAGAATTTGAAAGTCCTTGAAAGACCAGCCTTTTCTGATACTTCTTGAACATATTTGTAAAGCAATTTCTCACAGTTCAGTTTGTGTTTCCATACTATAGCTCTTTGTTTCATACAAAATGTTTAACTCTGAGAATTTATTTTTGCTAAGAAAGTTATGGAATGGTCAATTTTACTGAGTTTTTCTACTCCGCTTTCCTTCACTACTTCTAAAAAGAAGGCACATCTGAACCATTTTTACCAATCCCATCAAATGAAAATAAATTCTGCTGACACCCCCCCCCCCTTAATTTTAAAACAGCATGTCTTGTCAAAACAACATTGTTGCACTTATAAGTAGACTGGGAGTTTAAAAAAACAAAATACTGCTACTAGAGAATTTCAAATCCTGTTTAAATAGTTACCATAAGAATTGCGATTTTAAAATTTTTAATGGCCCCAAAATCCTAACGAAAAAATAATGTGTGCTTTCCCTTCTCACTGACTTGTCATCCCCTCGACAACTAATCACTTACGGAATAATGCTGAACATACTCCAACCATTACAATTTACAAAAAATTAAACTTCTTTGCACTCAGAAAATAGAAATGCATTCAGTCTTAAAGACTGAAAACCCTAGACACCTAGTGTTTTTTCTATAAAAGAAATAGGAATGTATTGAAAGGAGCATTAAATTGAACATTTGTTTGTTTTTGAACAGCATATGATCTGTTCTTTCAAACCTTACATAGTGAAAAATTTAGCATCCTTAACTTTGGACAAGCATGAATTCACACAAGTGATACAAAAGTGTAGCAACAGAATGGCTGCATGAAAAACAGAGATATTAAAAGACAGATTTTAAAGATAATTGATGTGAAAGTGCTGTTCTGATTTAGAATTGCTGAACCTCTTTTTATATCTCAGTTATATACAAAGTGAAAGAGAAGCCAACATTAGGTACCAATAGAGCAAACACTGTCAGAGAATATTCAAGTGTGTCTTGCTCAGATTTATGGCCAAGGCTCCCTAATAATGAATACAGCGTGCACCACAGAAACACACATAGCAATCTTTGTTCAGAAAGGATGCTGTTATTTATTCATCGAGCATATTATGCTATAAAAATCTGATTATCCAGGAAATCAAAAATCTGCAGGGTAACTGAGTATTGTCTCTCTGCCCACCAATTCTCTCCATAAATCCTTCATTAACAATGTCCGCTTAATATTCAAATACAAGCGTGCAGCTTTCCACGGAAAGGAAGTGGTTCCAGCTACTAAAAATGAAGACGGAATAATAAACTGCTGGATCAAATACAATATCCCACCGATTTTGACAGAGAACTGGATTTTAAAACAGACGCCTGCGATAGCCATCACGGGCAAAATAGGCATTGGTGAGCTACACGCTGCAAAACACATCTACAGCTCATTTAACAGGGAACAATAGACGAGTAGATGACGGACTCCTCCCTCTGGCTAAGAAACCATTAGCCTATTTTCTTGTCTAAACCCTTTCAAACTAGCAGGACCCCGAGCCTGAATTTGCCAGACCGCCCCCCCCCCCCCCCCCCCCCCCCCCGCCTCCCCGAGCTCTCATTATTTCAACTTTGTGCAAACCCCGGGGCGAATTGCGCCCTTCCCGCTGGGCGCGGGCGCCGTGCGTTCCCGGGGAGCGCGGGCAGCCCCGGCGAGGAGGGGCGGCGGCGGGGCCCGGCGCCCGGGGACCCCCCCAGCCTCCCGGCTCCGTGCTGGCACAGACGCGGTCCCGCTCCCACCCACGTGTTTCGCGGCTGCTTTCCACCCACGGACAGGCGCGTATGGGACGACGCGCCGCCGCCCGTGCCCTGGTCACGCCCGCTGCCGGCGAGCCCTGCCCGGGCGCGCCCGGGGGGCGCGCTGCCCCGCTCCCCGCAGCCTCCCGCCCCGGGGCTCCCCCGGCACGGCAGCTCAGCCCGGCCCCACCTCCCTGTCGGAGCCCCGGCAGCCGCACGCCGTCCCTTCCTTCCTACTCCTCCCCGCCGCGGGGAGCGGGGCCGGCCGGACGGGTGTCTCGCTGCGCCCGCGGCTCCGCGGCCCCCGCCGGCTGCCCTCCCCGCGGCCGGGAGCAACCATGGCGGGCGGGACAGCGGCACCCCGCCGCCGCCGCCGCCGCCGCGCCCCCACACGCACACGGCCGGAGCGGTGGGCCAAGCCCTCTCCTACCGTCTGAGTCCCTGGAAGGAGGAGGGCCAGGACATCCGCGATTTCTTCAAGCCGGGCCGGTGGCCGGTCTCCACGGCGTAGGAGGCGCGGTCCATGGCTCGGCAGTAGAGGTATCGCTCCGTGTCGGAGTAGCCGCGGTGCCTGACGCGAGCGCCGGCCAGGCAGCGGCCCCGGGAGCCGGGCGGCGGCGGCGGCGGCGGGCCGGGGGGCTGCTGGTGCTGGAGGAACTGGTGCTGCCGGAGCTGCGGCGGGTAGTGCTGCTCATGCCTCCACAGATGCTTGGGGGCTTTGAGACTCCCGCTGCCCCCGGCGCCGTCGCTGCCGCCGGCGCCGTCGCTGCCGCCGGGCAGCGGGGACAAGGCGCTGCCGCCGCCGCGTTCTGCCTCCATGCTGCCGGCGGGCCGGGCCGGGCCGGGCCGGGCCGGGGCGGGTCGGGCCGGGGCGGAGGCCGCCGCTTTCCTCCGGGCAGCGGCGGCGGGGAAACTGCGCTGAAAAGTTGGACAGCTCCGGCCGCACCGCCCCTCTCCCGGGTGTGCGAGCCGCCGGGGCCGCCGCGCCGCCGGGGCCTCCTGGCCACTCGGGAGGGGAGGCGGGCGGAGGGGGCGGAGGAGGAGAGGGGCTGGATTCCCGCTCGAAATATTTAAAGCCGGGCTGGAGCCAGCGCGGGGGAGAGCGGAGCCGGCAGCGGGCTGCCAGCGGCGCGGCGGGGCGCGCAGGCGGCGGGGGAGGGCACGGCGGGGAGCCCGGCCCGGGGGGAGGGCGCTAGGTGTGGGCGCGGAGGGGCGATCCCGGCCGCCGATCCCGCCCGCCTCCTCCCCGGGCGCTCCCCTCCGTCCTGGGGCCGAGGGAGCCGGGTTGCTGCCGGCCGGCCGTGACACACACCCCCCCCCAGAGGGACTCGCACCGCAGAGCGACGGCAGGTGGCAAAGTTGCTCACGCCCCAGCACACCGAGAGCTGTGCGGTAGGTGGGAAATGGGTGCTCGCCCCCCTGAACTCCACCTCCCGGCACCCCTGATTCCCTACATCATGCTTCCAGCCTTTGCCACATCAGGTTCAGAAATCGTCAGTTTCCCAACTGGAAACCTTCCCCTGGTTTGCTGTCTTCTGCAGTGAGTAAGCTCTCTCCCCCCTGCGAGTAAGACTGGCTGTAAATCAATGCGAGGAAGGTTTAATTATAGCGATGCTGAGCCTACTGCTACAGAGAAGCTTTTATAAACCACTAGTTGCAGGAGTTTCTAACTGCCGCAGGAAAAGGAAAAAAATCATTTAAAGTTAAAATTTACAGAACAGGAGCTTCATACTAAAAAAGAATTTTTAAAATTAGTTTTACATTTCAAATTCTTTTGTGCTTGTATACTCTGAATACTCCAGAAAACAAGGAGGTTGCATTTTAAATTGACTTTTTTTTTTTTTTCTTGCATTTTTTTTTTTAAAGTAGAATTCCAATTTGTCCTGAGTGGTAATATACTAAAATCTAACACTTCTTATTCATGACAGAATTATAATCACTAAGCTCCTGACAAAATATGAAAAAAAAGAGACACATGCAGGTGTTCATTTGAAAACTATTAATATGCATTTTTCTGGTCCATCTATTCTGCTTGCCAGAGTCTCCATACTAAGCAAGAATGCACTGCAAAAATTCTTCCCCTACCGTACCTTTACAAAAACATGTATTTTCTTCCAATTAGTGTTCATCTACTCATTAGACTATTCTGATTAGCTTCATGCACAACTTCTACTTCCTCAGTCACAAAACTAGTCTTGCCATCCTTTTTCCCTTTCCATCACAGGTCTGCAATCATTTTAAACCTCATAAATTTCTTTTTGAATTTCTTATTAATGGAAATGTACAACTAAGTCAACTCTTTAACATGTTAATGCATTTTTTTCCATTCTCCATCTTAAAAGTCAGCCTTCCTTCCCAGACACACAGCACACCTAAAATCAAAATTAATCCTCTAACCATGTACATCCAAGCATCTGTTGGGCAAATCTCTCAGACTGTGTTTTCCCAAGCCAACAGTAATTTCCTAGATAATCCTGATAATCGTCTGTCATGCCTTCATTTCTTCTTTACTGACCTAATAACTTCTGGTTTCACCAAACAATTTCAAACAAGATAATAAGTTGAGATAAATATTGTGAATACTGGAAAAGAGCCAAAGAAGTACTTCGATGAGACAAGACAGGAGAATGTTATCCAAAACTAAATAATGGCAACAATTGCAATTTGAGATATAGGCATATAGGATGCAAATCCATGAAAAACTCAGAGAAGAGAAATAACTTTTCCCCCATCTTTACCTCCATTCCTGTACTGCAGTGGGACTGCATTACACAATTTCTAGTTTCCTCTCTTCTCTTAAAATTAGACATGGCTCCTGTGACCAATCTCACTATAACTTCAAAGAATGATAGAACTGATGCCTGGAAGGTCCCTCATGAGGTTGTCCAGTCCAGCCTCATGCTCAAAATGGGACTATCATCAATAATAGATCACACCAGCCACGGATGCGTCTGAATCTCAAAAAAACTCCAACAACAGAAACCTCCCCAGCCACCATGGATAACCTGCTCTAGTGCTGCACCACATTCCTAACGAGGCAGGGATATTCAGTGTAAACCTGTACGAACCTGTGTGTTCCTGATGTTCAGTCTAAACCTCCCAACCAGAGGTCCTTGCCCCTCCTTAAACAGCATGCCACCACCAAGAAGAGCTTAAATTTGTTGTTTTTTGCAACAACCCTTCAAGTAGCTGCAGGCTGCCATTCAGTAGCCTTTCACCTCCTCCAGAGCAGACTAAGTCAGCTCAGCCCCCTCAAGTGCTCATCACTGATGGTGTGCTCCAGGCCCTGACCACCCTGGTAGCCTTCTCCTGGGCTCCCAGTGCTCCCCTGGATCCACTAGCTACAGTCCCTTTGGCATGTAGAGTGTTTTATTTATGATGAACAGCGCACTGTTTGGCTGCTACCCACCCAGAAGTCCATTGAAGTCCCCAGGTCCTTTCCAGCAGGGCTGTGACCCAGTCAGGCACTTGCCAGCCTGTGCCAGTGCTTCGGGTTCTCCTGTCTGGGTGCCAAACTCTGCACTTCAGCACGGGGTCTAGTATCAACCCCTCACGGTGCTGTGCTCATTACCAGCTGCCAGCCAGATGTTGAGCCGTCAGTCTCCACACTTTGATCCCACCTAGCAGTCTGGTCATCCAGTCCAGACTTCCTCAGTTTCCAAATGAGAATGTTTGGGGGGTTTGTTTCAAAACCCTTACTAAACTGAAAGGCATGTTACACCCACTGTTCTCTCTTCTGCACAGTTTTTTCATGATGGAAGGCAGTCAGGTCAATCCAACACGATTTGCTCTTGCTAAATATATATGTTAAGTAGTCCTGATGACCTTCATGTCCTTTACAGGTCTGGAAATAGATTCAGAGATGTGCTTGGACCCTTGCAGCAACCGAGGTGAGGCTGATCAGTCTATAGTACTTTCATCCTCCTCCTTGCCCTTCTGAAGGATGGATGTAACATTAACCTTCTCCCACCTGGCAGGAACTTTCCTTAACCACCATGACTTTCCACAAATGAAAACCAGCAACCTCACAGTCACATCGGCACTGCCCTTTGGATCAGTCTGATATGATTTTATGTATTTGAAATTATAAAGGTACGTCTGATATTCCCCATTCAATCCAGTATTTTCAGAGTGCACCTAATTTTTTAGACACCAATTACAATTTGACAAATTTGTTTTCTAGCCAATTGTTAAGGAACGCAATTTCTGCATAGCTACATTTAGGAGATTCATGTTTGCTCTCAGAGGCTGAAAAGAGCACAGTATGGAGAAGGAACGGTAGATCTGGTTAAAACATGTCTATCTATGCTTAGCACAGCACCTCTGGAGGAATGATTTTATCTCCTCAGGAGTATTACCTGCTCCTCTGCTTGGAAGCTTCAAAAACTTCTCCGAGCATCCACCTAAAAAAGCAAGGTTCCTGCAGAGTAATCAGATTATTTTGCATGCAGTCCATACACATTAACCGGTCCAGACCATTTCTCCTCACAAACTGGAGATCAGTTAGTTCTGCTGGTTAAACACTTCATCTGACCACTCTCTCGGTCAGTAATGTGAAACGGAACATCCTAATTCACACCAAGTTAGAGACCAGACAAGCCAATCAACAGTTTAACAGGCCACAGATGGCCACTTCCAATGGAAAGGGGTGATAAGACCTAAATCTGAGAAAGCCAGATCTGTCTCTGTGACTGTGTCCCTATGCAATACAGGCTGTGGTGGGTTGACCCTGTCTGGACTCCAGGTGCCCAGCAAAGCTGCTCTATCACTCCCCTCCCTCAGCTGGACCAGGGGGAGAAAATACATCGAAAGGCTCATGGGTCGAGATCAGGACAGGGAGAGATCACTCACCAATTACCATCACAGGCAAAACAGACTCGACTTGGAGAAAATGAATTTAATTTATTTCCAGTCAAATCAGAGTAGAACAGTGAACTATAAAGATTAAAACTTAGACAGCCTTCCCCCACCACCTCCTTTCTTCCCGGGATCAACTTCAATCCCCATTTATCTACCTCCTCCTCCCCAGCAGCACAGGGGCGCGTGGGACGGGGGTTGTGGTCAGTTCATCACCCATTGCCTCTGCCAATCCTTCCTCCTCAAGGGGACAACTCCTCACACTCTTCCCTTGCTCCAGCGTGGGGTCCCTCCCACAGGAGACAGTCCTCCACAAAATTCTCCAGCATAAGTCTTTCCCATGGGCTCCAGTTCTTCACTAACTGCTCCAGAGTGGGTCCCCCGTGGGGTCGCAGTTCCTGCCAGCAAACCTGCTCCAGCGTGAGCTCCTCTCTCCATGGGGCCACAGGTCCTGCCAGGAGCCTGCTCCAGCGTGGTCTTCCCACGGGGTCACAGCCTCCTTTGGGCATCCACCTGCTGTGGTGTGGGGTTCTCCATGGGCTGCAGGTGGGTATCTGCTCCACCATGGACCTCCCTGGGCTGCAGGGGCACAGCCTGCCTCACCGTGGTCTTCACCAGGGGCAATCTCAGCTCCAGTGCCTGTAGCACCTCCTCTTCCTCCTTCTCCACTGGCCTTGGTGTTGACAGTGTTGTTGTTTCTCTCACTTGTTCTTGTGCAATTGTTCTTGCACAGTTTTTTTTCCCTCTTCTTAAACATGTTACCCCAGAGGTGTTACCACCGTTGCTGATGGGCTCGCCCTTGGCCAGCGGCAGGTCCATCCTGGAGCCGGCTGCATTGGCTCTCTCGGACATGGGGGCAGCTTCTGGCAGCTTCTCACAGAAGCCACCCCTGTAGACACCCTGCTACCAAAACCTTGTCATGCAAACACAATATATAGGCTTATCCAGGTTTCATTTTAAAAAATTCTTTATAATAAGGTATGGTAATGCCTGTATACTGCAATAGCCATATATTAATTATAGCATTGGTGTATTCCATTTGTATACCTATTTTTGTGATTAGCAACAGTGTTATGTTACTAAGAATAATGAGGTCTTGCATTTACATAGTGTTTTTCATCCACTTCATCCAAAAAATAGAATTAGGATGTTGCTACCTCTATTTAACCAAGTGGATACTCAACCACAAGGCACAAGACATATCACAGTATTAAGGCAGACATTCAATTACAGTTAAATAGATGACTTTCATTCCAGTCAGCTACCAAACTTTCTATTTAAATTTGAAAAAACATGTGTATGACCAATTGTTTATTACACCAGTGTGCTAAGACACTGCCAGAACATTTTGTTCCTAAAGCACAGAATATTACAGTTCCCTGCAAAATATAGTATAAATGGGACCTAGCAGCTTTATATATATATATATATATATATATATATATATAAAAGAAATATATACCTTTTTGTTAATATTTCCTCAAGTCAAGGCAAAATTTTTTTCTTACTTGCCAAGCTTATTTCAGCACAGAATCCTCACAAGTACTAAGTCTGCTGAAGATTCAGTAGCAAGGGAACATTCTACATTTGAGAGTTGTAACTGAAAATCATTTAGAAAAATACATCTATTTTCATTTTCCTGGAATTTGTCTGAGCCTTCTCACAGGAGACTGGAACCTCCCTAGTGAGTTGAGGCTTGAATACGAGAACTGCTCCAGCCATACCCACCTATTAGTCTTGCATTAGCATCTCAGAGCTCTCTGTGTACATCACACCAACACGCGCAGAGATCCATAACATAAAATGTAATATTCTACCTCATAATAAAATACCATTTGACGTTATCTAGGATTCTTAACCTTTCACATCTCCTTTTAAAAACATGTCGTTTCAAGAAATGCTTAGAAAAATAGAAAGAACAGTATTCAAAAAAATAACAATTTTGTTTGCTTTGGTATCTTTGTTTACAAAGGTTTTGACAATATTTTCAAGGCTCTTGTTAAGCTTATGGTGATAGCATTAACATCATACTAGATAAAACTGTTATACCTCTTACTCCTTCATAATGGCACTGCAGTTCTTAACAGATATCTATGATAATATTGCAGCAAAGCAAAGTAATTCCGACACACAGAAAATAATGGATAGCATCTTATTTTGTCCCTTTATTTCCTGGACTAATAATGACATGCAGTCCTTAAAAACCACTGTAGATAAAAACACAACACTGAAGGTCAGTATACTAAGGAGATACAATTATAACTGGATTAGAAAAGAAAATACACAGCAATTGAATTACGAACCTAATAGTGTCCACCCACTTCTTGTCAGAGAAGATACTTCTGTAATAGGTTATATGCCTTGTAAACAGTGATAAAGCGATAAAAAAGGACCTGCATTGTCTGTACAAGAAATGAACCCATGCTAAAACACACACATTAGATGATAAATTTTGTTCAGTAGTATTCACCACTGACTACAGAACTGATAGTAATCCTATTATGATTCAGCACAATGGCACTTAAGAAACTGTACTATATTTTACATACAACTGTGAAGTTTTACTGAGTTCTTTTAAAGTCCAGCAAGGTTGAATTTCAGATACAGTGGACCGTCACTAGCTGTTCATCTATATTTTTTTTATCGTGTCTGACTCATGAAGCAGAAACACATTCCTGCTGCTAGCAATGGAAAAGGAATTCAGCAGATCATCATTCTATAAATCAGTTGAAAATTAAAGAAGAAAAAATTGAGTGCTTTAAAAGTAGAGGTCTGATTAAATGCAGAATATGTTGTTAGATGTAGAACTATAAATCATAGAAAAATAAAATATTACAAGAATGTACCCATGTGAGTCTCACATAATCTACTTGTATTGTGTAATGTGTATTCAAGTTAATCATGAACTTCTTTACCATTGCAAAGGGACAGTTATGGTAAGAGCACTGTATCTGTTTCAATATATATTCTAAAATCCTACTGCAGAGAGAAATTAATAATCAATACTCTTTTTTATTGAATGTCTTTTGTAAATTATGGAATGACCCCATAATTTAATTCTACTAAAATTACTATTAACATGATAAAAGGGGGATTAATATAGAACTGTATACTTATGCAGGTTAGGAAGGCTGCTTTTCCAGTTTGCAGAAAGATACTCCTGCAGGTAGCTCCATAGGGACTTAATACAGATTTTTAGTGAGGAATAACACCTACTTTTGGAAAAAAAAACAACACTGTAATCTTATTAGCTATCTAATCTAGTGCCTCTATACATAAGCATAATTAAAATGCTTAATTTATTAAACTACAGATGATAATTTTGAGTGTTCTTTAACATTCCCTATGTTCAGTCACAATTGATTCAAAGATCTACTTTTCTTAGAATAGGTGTGGTATAAATACCAAATTAATTTATACGGTAAAGTAAAACAGAAATCATATCCTTTTAAGTATTTACTACAATACAGACTACTACATGGCTTTTAAAATCTGAATATGATCCCAAAACTAACAGTTCCTTGTGAGCAGACAGTTTCTGTTTCTTACAGAGAGTATGTATGCTAGAAGAATGTTTCTTTGAACTTAACAAAATTTTAGTTGCAAGAGCATAGTCTTTCTGTATAGAATGTATTCTTGTTCTGTATATTAAAGCACTGACTTCAGTCCTGTGGAATATATTTATCACAACGCAGACACAAAGAAGAGAAATATCCTGACACAGAAAGCCAACATTCTCCTCTTACCCAAGTAATTTAAAATCTGTCAAGTATATAAGAACCATGTGTTTGATACTGCGGGTACACGGACTGACACAGCTATATCATGGGCCTTGACACCCTCAGGCTGATGGAGACTTCTACTGATGAGAAGCTGAGGCTGACTGAGATGAAAGGCATTTTGCACTCACTAAGATCACAATTTCATGTAACCTCCCACTTGGAGCAATGAGCAAAGGCTATTTCAGACGCGCACTAAAAATCACAAGCTAGGTTCTCACTAGTGCTATATGATTACTGAACGTAAAAGGGGGCAGATCTTAAAAATATTCCCTTGACTGCCTTTATTTGCAGCTGGAAGAGGAAACAACAGCAACAGTTCTTTTCCAGTTGGATAGCACAGGAGCAAGAGAGGAGGGATTTAGCAGTTAGTGCTCATACCATGCTTCTTCTTCTCCACTGTACCACAGCAGCAGATTACATGAAGCATAAGTCCCGAGAGAAGCTCTGTGGAGT